AGCTTCCGAACCCACACCCTCCCTCGGCACGGAACGCACAGGCTGATACGACCAAATCTGATTACACGGAATTAATAAAGAGACCGTCCTGTTCTTTGCCGACTTAGACCAGCTCTCGCAATGTCAAATTATGGGGCTCCAAAATGAAATATTCTTGCGCCGACTAAAAGGGGGACCCAACCGAACGAGTGCTGGGGTGGACTGTGTGGCTTTGATTTACTCTGGAAATGCTGCTTCGGAAGTGGAACGGTTTTAAAAATCATTACCCAAATATCTCTGTGAAAGACCCTGTTATATGGGACGGGGCGGTCTATCTCTGCATGCTCCCGCTTGAAAGAATTCCCCGCAAGTAGAAAAACAAACACGCGAGGGAGAAGGGTTCGACCCAGACTTCTCCCTGACGCGCTGTTTTTCTAAATGCGAGGTTTCCCCCCCGTTTTGTTTTTAAGTGGAACATTCAAAGAAGCATCTTTTATGGCCTGAACTGATATAGAAGTGGCCTAGTTGCTTGATTCTACGGAACGTACAGGGTGGCCCAAATCTGGGAATCTGGAGGAGTCTGAAATTGCCCCCCTCAGCTTCAAAATGGAGCCCGGAACAGGTGCTGCGATCAATCCGCCCGGCGCGCACGGAGGTCTCGCGCAAGTTGTGAGGTCTAAGGACATCCTGATCTATGAGCCTTATTGCACATCACAGGTCATGCCGGACAAAAGACAGGACCACTGAATTTTGCTACTGATTCCAAATTGTGCTGCATTGGGCGGCCTTCTCATCTAAAGGCCGGTCGTGGATTTTTTTTACGGGCACCGACTCTGAAATTGTCCTTCCCCACGCCCCCGCCTCTACCAGCCTCCCCACCAGTTTTGCCCGGTCCGGGGGCCATGGAAAGATCTCAGCGTCCTGACGCTCAGCCCCTCACCAGCGTCAGAGAGGTCCCGGAGGGAGCTGCTGAGGGCGCCGCGTTTCAGGCCTTCCCCCATGGTGTAGGCATCTTCCAGGCTGCTCCGGGTCAGCGTCCCGTTCACCGTGTCCTTGGGCCCGGAGGAAGGGGAGGCGTTGGGGCGCATCACCCCTTTCTGCTTTTCCAGCTCCGCTGTGGGTGGGGGAGAGGAAAAAGAAGAAGAAGAGATTGGATTTATGCCCCACCCTTCACTATCCGAAGGTGTCTCAGAGCGGCTTACAAACTCCTTTCCCTTCCCCTCCCCACAACAGACACCCTGTGAGGTAAAAGAAGAAGAAGAAGAGATTGGATTTATACCCCGCCCTTCACTACCCAGAGGAGTCTCAGAGCGGCCTACAAACTCCTTTCCCTTCCCCTCCCCACAACAGACACCCTGTGAGGTAAAAGAAGAAGAAGAAGAAGAGATTGGATTTATGCCCCGCCCTTCAGTACCCAAAGGAGTCTCAGAGCGGCTGACAAACTCCTTTCCCTTCCCCTCCCCACAACAGACACCCTGTGAGGTAAAAGAAGAAGAAGAGATTGGATTTATACCCTGCCCTTCACTACCCAGAGGAGTCGCAGAGCGGCTTACAAACTCCTTCCCCTTCCCCTTCCCCTCCCCACAACAGACACCCTGTGAGGTAAAAGGAGAAGAGATTGGATTTATACCCCACCCTTCACTACCCAAAGAAGTCTCAGAGGGGCTTACAAACTCCCTTCCCCTCCCAACAACAGACACCCTGTGAGGTAAAAGAAGAAGAAGAGGAGATTGGATTTATACCCCGCCCTTCACTACCCGAAGGAGTCTGAGCGGCTGACAAACTCCTTTCCCTTCCCCTCCCCACAACAGACATCCTGTGAGGTAAAAGAAGAAGAAGAAGAGATTGGATTTATACCCTGCCCTTCACTACCCGAAGGAGTCTCAGAGGGGCTTACAAACTCCTTTCCCTTCCCCTCCCCACAACAGACACCCTGTGAGGTAGAAGAGGAAGAAGAAGAGACTGGATTTATACCCCGCCCTTCACTTGGAGTCTCAGAGCGGCCTACAAACCCCTTTCCCTTCCCCTCCCCACCACAGACACCCTGTGAGGTGGGTGGGGCTGAGAGAACTCTGACACAAACTGCTCTTTTTCAAGGACAGCTGTGTCAGAGCTTGTGATTGACCCAAGGTCACATCAGCAGGTGCAAGTGGAGGAGTGGGGAATCAAACCCGGTTCTCCCAGATTAGAGTCCGCACACTTAACCACTACACCAAAGCGATGAAGGTATTTAATGCCCTGATTCTTTCTTTCTTTTTTTTTGGGGGGGGGAGGTTCCATCCCGCCCAGCGGCCAGAGATGGATGGCTATCCCAAATCAAATTGGAAAGCAAGGAGCTCTGGTGTTTTTATATAAATTTGTGTGTTTTTATATGAATTTGTGGTCCCGCATCCTGCATTCAGATCCTGCCCTGAGTCTCAAACCCTGCCCTCAGTGGCAGAATTAAGACCTGTGTCCAGTAGTGTCTTAGACACCCACAAGATTTTCAGGGTATAACAGTCAAAGCTCCCTTAACCCCTTCCTTCCTATCAGTCTGTCGGCCATAGTCGCTTTCCCCCCTCAGCCAGGCTCTGATACCAGAAATGAGCCCTGTGGGGAGACAAATGCCCTGGGGACCAGAGTTGTAGAGAGGTAAACAGTGGGTGAAGGTGAGGTTCGGCTCTCCTATGGCTCTTAAAATCACACATCTCTCCTACTTCATAAGGCAGACCTGAAGAGTTGGCTGCCGCTGTGTCTAGTTCAGCTCTAAGGAGAAGGGGAAATGCTCTGGATCAGGGTTGCCAAACATGTGGCCCAGGGGCCGGATCAGGCCCCCGGAGGGCTTCTATCAGGCCCACAATGGAACTGGCTGTCTTCTGTTGCTTCTTCCAGTTCTGCTGCTGCATCATCGTAGGTTTGCAGCTGACAGATACACACCTGAACAGCATACTCAAGATTGCAACAGCACAGACGTTTTGATGCAATAATTCAGAGCAGAGGTGTCAGTTATCAGACACTGTTAAATAAACAAAATATTGCAGGAGTGCTGATGTTTTAAGCATGTTTTTATTTCAAGTTAAAAAAAAACCCGTTGTGTTCGTGTCCTTTATGAAGTTTATATCTCCGCTACCTGGCATTACATTTTACGACACACACACGTGGCCCAGCCCAACAAGGTCTCATTTATGTCAGATCCGACCCTCATAACAAATGAGTTTGACACCCCTGCTCTGGATGGTATTTTGCATTATATATTCTGGTCCAATAGAAAAGGATACATCCGCTACACCCTACAGCTAGAAGGAGAACTGTTCCCTGAGACCTTTGACTTCTGAAAGCTCATACCTCGAAAATCTTTTTTTTTTTTGGTATTTTTAAAATATGTGTGTGCATGTGCGTGCGCACCTAGAAGTCGTGGTGACTAACCCCTACTAGGGGCCTGGAGGATATTCAGAGACGTGGCTGAATAAAGCCTGTCCCCGTCTCCTGCCTCTGGTATTCCAAGGAGGTCTCCCTTCCAAGTATTTGCCGGAGTTGACCCGGCTTAGAAGAAGGAGAGAAGACACTCGGAGTCTCAGAGCAGTTTACAATCTCCTTTCCCTTCCCCTCCCCACAACAGACACCCTGTGAGGCAGGTGGGGCTGAGAGAGCTCTTTCGGGAACTGCTCCTGATAGAAGAGGTCCGAAAGAACCTGCAACTGACCCAAGGTCACACCAGCAGCTGCAGGTGGAGGAGTAGCGAATCAAACCCGGTTCTCCCAGATTAAAGTCCGCGCTCCTAACCACTACACCGAACTGGCTCTTAGCTTCCGAGATCGGATGAGTTCGGGCTTGCCTTTGCTATCCAGGTCAGAGCCATACCATGAAAAATTTGTCAGTTTCTAGTGCGACTGGACTCGAATTTAGCTCTTTTATGGCAGCCCAACATGGTTGCCCTCTGAAACTATTGGTGATGGCAGCCAAGTTGGGATGGCACGGACAATGGCACCTTGTTCTAAGGCACTGCACTCGCCCTAGGTTGCCAAGTCACTTACTTGGCACAGCGGGGGACAGCTGGTCCCTGCCTAGGACATTCGTGCGCAGAGCTCGCGCCGCGATAACGTCACCCAGAAGTGACGTCATCACACTGGGCACGTCGCTAGCAGACGCTCTAGCAATCAGCCTGGAAACTCTATGGTACCATAGAGTTTCCAGGCTGATTGCTAGAGTGTTGGCCGACGATGTGCCCAACGAGATGACATCACTTCTGGGTGACGTCATCGCGCTGGGCATGTTGGCCCAAACCGGGCACTTTGGGGGCGGGGTTCCCCCGCTGGCCTGATCCAGACTGGCGGTGTTGGAGGGCCTTTGGGCGGGTAATCCCCTGCCCCCCTGGGGGACCTGGCAGCCGTAACTCACCCTCCCCTGTTGGTTTTGAGCCACAATGCAGCAACAAGTTTAAAGGCTTCCTTTTTCTTTCCAAGCTTCACCCGTTTCCCTCCGCCTCCTCAACGGGGCCCTCCGGTGCACTGAGTCAACGGCAGTGTCCGTCAGGAAGGACACACGGCCCCTGCCCCACTTTGCGTCCCTTCCACACTCGTCGCACGCCTCCACCGATCACTCACATTCCACACGATACTTCTCCATCTCTTGGACTTCAGCGATGGATTCCCGGAGGTCGCTGGTGAACCGTAGCCGGTCCTGCAGACTGGGGGCGTTGAAGATGATCAAGACTTTCCTTTCCCCACCAGGGACGGCTGAGAGCAGCTTGATCCCAAATTGGTAATCTGGGCAGGAGAGGCAGAGGCTGGCTGACTGTGGGCTCACTCCCACTGAACCCTATTTCTGGCAGCCGCCAAATGTTTTTAGAAAGTGGGCGAGGCTTCTGCCCAGCAAGGCTTCTCATAGGCTGTGCAGGTGTTTTTTTTAAAAAAAACAATGTTTCTTTAATAGCCGCTTTCACCACAGCACAAGGATCTTCACCACGTGACTGACAGTAAGCTGCGGCAGCCATTTTGTATGTGGCTCGGCCTTCTGCGGCAGCCATTTTGTGGGTGCGCCCACCAGTGCTCCCTCTAAGCTGTGGAGTTTTGTGAGCAAAAATTCTACTCTGTGAGCTACTGGCATTCAAGTTGTGAGCCGGCGATTTGGCCGCTGCATAAATTAGTTCGCTCTGGAGCCGTCCCTTCCTGAGCTGAGACAAAAATATGTGCGTCGGAGGCTAATTGTTTTAATCTAAATTGACTTATGTTTTATTGTAGATTATGTACTGATTTTATGTAAGCCGCCCTGAGCTGGGCTTGGCTGGGAGGGTTAGGGTAAAAACCCGGTTAAATAAATAAATAAATAAATAAACTGTGAGTTGGCTCACACTAGCTCAGCTTAGAGGGAACACTGGCGCCCACCATGGTGTGTCAGAATTCCAAAGGTGCCTGTGGGTTCAAAAAGCTTGAGGATCAAGCCCGTAGCCAGGATTTTGTGGCTTGTGGGGCAAACCGTTTTCTCGTGGGACTGAAGTTCTCAGTGCAGACAGAAAAGCCATTCAGCCGATAGAAAGCGGTTACCGGGATAGATCTCTAAACGGCAAGCAGTCGACTGTTCTCAGCTGCTGCAAGTTAATCCCTTCCGCCAGCCTAAGCAACAATTCTGATAACAAGCTGGCAGGTGGGGGGTGATGACTTCTGTAGTCAAGTGGCGTGGGAGGGCGGGGTATAAATGGAATTAAATAAATACATAAATAATAAAGAAAGCTAACACTTGGGCAGAAAAACTCTCTCAAAGAGACAAGTTTCTAGACACAGAAGGGATCCTAGAGGTCACCTACTCCAACCCCCCTTGCTCAGTGTGGGAATTAGTCAACTACAGCACCCCACTCCGCTTGAAGGAGCGCACCCCTTTAACAAATACTTAGAAATGACTGAAAAGGGCATTTACAGAGAAATTCTTGTGGGGCGGTGCCTTTAAGAAAGGGGGCGGTGCCCCCAAAAGCCCCACCGTGGCTACGGGCCTGTTGAGGACCCCACCCTAGAGTGGCCTTCAGCCTGATGGAGAAGGGACAGTGGAGGGGCCAGATGATAGTAAGCCAGCCAGATGGAAGAGGAAACTACTTTAAGGACCCGGGAACCTGAGACGAAGAGGACAGGGCGGCCAATGTGCACTGTAGTGCTCTGTCAGAGCACAGACGTCTGGCCTGGAGTGGAGTGTGGGGCAAACACTGTGCCCCACGACACCTCTGTGTCTACCGTGGGGACGACACTCACAGGAATTCTGGAAGAGCTGCAGCTGCATCTCGACGAGAGGGAAGCTCTGGCGGAAACTGTAGGTCACGAGGATCTTCTTCTTCTGGAATATCTTTGTGACCTGGAATATTGTCAGGGGAGGAAGAGAGAAGAGGGTCAACAAGGAGCAGGAAGGACAAGCCTGGTCTCCACCCAGAAGTGCTATCGCCACTTAATGGGCTGGATCCTGCTTCCCCTTCCTGGTGTAGGACAGCCTAGCCCATAACCTGACCCTATTGCATCTCATTTGATAGCCCAAGCGTCACCATACAGCAAGCCAGTGGGATCCGCCTCTCCGTGCCTGGAGGACAGTGCCACAAATGGCATTGGACCTCTGCACGGTACAGTGCTGATCTCTGTCAGCTGGAGATCGGTTGTAAAAGCGGGAGATCTCCAGGCCCCACCTGGAGGCTGGCGACCCTAACAACAGCCCAGTGAGGTAGGCTAAGCTGACATACAGAGAGGGAGCGGGCCACAGTCACCCAGCAAACCTCCATGGCAGAGTGGGAATTCGAACCCGGTTCTCCCAGATCCTACCTCATACAAACAATAATTTTAAAAGTACAGGGTGGTTGGCATGATGTAAGCATTTCTTTGGAGGGCTGTTGCCCTGTTGGTTTTCTGCCAGGCAGAACGGGCCACAAGGGAAAAGTTGTCCTGTGCTGAACAAGCATTGCAGAGCTGAAGAGCGACCAGCTGCTTGCTCACGCACAGACTCGCTTTGTGGTCTGAGGCAGGTAATACTGGCCTACCTTGCAGGGTTGTTAGGAGAATTATTCTATGCAAAGCCCTTGGGATGCTTAAAAGAAGTGCACAAATGCTTTCCCCTCCAAACACTTGCACCGTTTTTCTATTTTAAAAAAATTCTTTGAAAACATTTTCCCTTAAAAATTCCCCTGTTCCAGGCCTTCTATGCAGAAGGGGGTAATGTAGCCAGCTTTAATTTTAAAAAGCTGTTCTTTGTTCTGTCCCCTGCCCCCCCCCCTAATAGCACAATGGGCAATGAAAGGGAAATTCAAACTCAAACCCCCACCCCGAATGCTACCGGACTACCTGAGTTGGCTGCCTGTCTGCCTGATTTCCACCTTTATCCAGGCTTGTCAAGACAGAGTGATCAGCAGAAGAGGAGCAAAATTCCACCTCACCGCCAGAGCACTCTAACATCCCGTCCTTACTCCTTCCTTACCACTAACAGGTTGTTGAAGAGGAAATCCTTTGATTGTAGGACTTCATGGAAGTAGGTAACCTAGCCAGCTTTAAATAAATCTTAAAAAGCTTTGTCTTATCGTCCCCTGCTAGCGCAATGGGCGATGAAAAGGAAAATTAAAACTCACCCCCACTGAATGCTACCGGACTAACTGAGTTGGCTGCCTGTCCGCCTGATTTCCACCTTTATCCGGGCTTGCCAAACACAGCGGTTGGCAGTAGCGGAGGTCGCTTCCGCCTTACTCCCAGAGTGCTCTAACATCCCACCCCTGCTCCTTCCTTACCACTAACAGGTCGTTGAAGAGGAAGACCTCCCTTTGGTGCACCCCAAGCCTCTGGGGCCTGTTTGGATCCGGGACCTCGTAGAGCTGGCAGCAGCAAACCAGGCGCCTGTGGGGCAGTGAGAGGACCTGGGTAGGGCAGACAGGAAGATCGTGTTGGAAGTGGAACTGAAAAGAGAAGACCGGCCCTGGGGGAGTCCCAGACCCTCTCCCCGTCCCAAAGGGCTCTCCCACTCACCGGCTTTTTGCCCACAATCATTCGCTCGACTGCTTGGACCTGAGAGACGTGGTCGTCGTTGGTGCGCAACTCCCGGCTCTGGATCCGCTGGTAGATCCCAACCAACAGGTCGCGGGGGATGTCCTCTCCGTTATCCACCCCTGGGGAGGAAGCATAAGCAGAGGTTGCAGGGAGAGCAGAGGCCAAATTCAGAAACCGAGAACAGCAAAACGTTCGCAACGGAATATTTCAGAGCACTCTGAGGCTCTCACACGTTCGCGTTCCCCGTCATGTTTTCAACAGTCCTGTAAGGTAGGCGAGTGCAATTAAAGGCACGGATCAGAGACTGCGGGAATCCTGACTCGCTCGCTACGTCACGTGTTTGCGGCGGAGATGATCCCAGTGGAGGTGTTGACAGTAGCGGATCTATCGGTCTTTCTCCTCCACCGAGCAGACCTTTCCAACCCTGGGAAAGTTTATTCCCAGGGACAGGTGGGTTGGGAGGCAGCAGTGGGGATGGGAAAGGGGAAAAAACAACTGACGGAAGAAAGAGGAGAGGGCAGTTGTGCCCCTTTCCTCCTCCCCGCTGCAGGCGCCCACCTGCCCAGGTATTAAACCATGCAGATCCTATCACCGCGAGAACAAATATTCCAGGGCTCAGAAAAGACTGCTGCAGGCAGGGGGACGTGGAAAAGATCTGCAGTCCTTGCATCTGTGGATCACCAGATCCAACCCGTGGCTGCATGGAATAGCCTCTGCTTGACCTGCAGTAGGTCCCAGGTTCAATCCCTGGCATCTTTATTTAAAAGGACCTGGCAGCAGGTGATGTAGAAGACCTCTGCCTGAGGCCCTGGAGAGCCGCTGCCAGTCTGAGTACACCAGGGCCCCCCAACCTTTTTCAGGCTGCAGGCACTCTGACACAGTATGGTGGTGGCAGCATCAAAATGGCTGCCACAGGAGGCGGAGCCAGCCAGAAAATGGCTTCCATGGCTTACCTTCAGTCGCACAGTGAAGATCCGTGTGCTGTGGGGGCAGCTGCCGCCAAAGCAACGTTTTTTTAAAATCTGCACAGCCAATCAAATCTCCAGTGGCCAATCAGAAGCAAAAGCCCCATCTAGTCCCACCCACTTTCTAAATACAATTGGTGGGTGTCAGGGTGGAAGGAGGAAAATCTATGGGTCATTCTTGGTTATAAAATCTATGGGTCATTCTTGGTTATAAACTCAAGGAGGGATGGGTTGGGGGAGGTGTTGCATTGTACATCAAAGAGGGCACAGAATCAAATAAGTTAGAAAACATCAGGGGAATTAACACCCGAACAGAAGTGATATGGGTGGAAATACTGGGCCCTAAGGGTTACTTAAAAGTAGGGGGCGTATTATCACCCACCTGATCAAACCCTTGAGGCTGATCTTGAAATGGAGAAGGAAATAAGGGAGGTGGCTAAAGCAGATAATGTTATTATACTGGGAGACTTCAACTACCCTCACATTGACTAGGTAAACGTGTGCTTGAGTCATGCTGTACAAATGAGATTCCTAGACATCATAAATGACTGTGCACTGGAACAGTGGTATCATTATACACAAACATTCCTCATAATGAGGCCTTAGAGGTACTTCAAACTACATTAGACATGAGGGAGAATGCTCAAATCCCTCCCACTGCCTTTTTATGCCATATAATACTGCCTAAAAAGAAATTACTTCCAATTTCAAAAAAAAGTTTTTTGGCAGATCTCTGGTACGGCAATGGAATGCAAGTTTGCACCATAACTTTGGACCAAGGAAGTCCAGGGTTGCAATGCAGAGGCAGGCAACAGCAAACCCACCTCTGTCCATCTCTTGCCTTGACCTGGATGTCCCAGGCTAGCCCATTCTCATCAGATCTCAGAAGCTAAGCAAGGTCGGACCTGTTAGTACTCGGGATGGGAGACCCCCAAGGAAGTCCAGGGCTGCTATGCAGAGGAAGGGAATGGCACACCACCTCTGTTTGTCTCTTGTCTTGAAAGCCCAATCTCCATCAGACCTTGGAAGCTAAGCTGGGTTGGCCCTGGTGAGTACTCGGGATGGGAGACCACCAAGGAAGTCCAGGGTTGCGATGCAGAGGCAGGCAAGGGCAAAACCACCTCTGTCCATCTCTTGCCTTGACCTGGATAGCCCAGGCTAGCCCGATCCCCATCAGACCTTGGAAGCTAAGCTGGGTCGGCCTCGGTTGGTACTTGGATGGGAGACCACCGAGGAAGTCCAGGGTTGCAACGCAGAGGCAGGCAATGGTACACCCACCCCTGTTCCTCTCTTGCCTTGAAAGCCCTGAGGGGTTGCTGTGAACTGGCTGTGACTTGACGGCACTTTCCCCTGCCACGCGGAGCCACAGCACCCACCTAGCACAAGGAGCGGTGCACAGGGAGTGGTGGCACAGGGGATTTATCCTCTGGTTAAAACATCTGAGCTGAACAGAACTGCTGTCAGTTCTAGCCCCGTGCTGGTGTGAGCTACCAGCCTTGTCCCCAGCTCGCTGTCCACCCAGCGATTTGAAAGCTTCGGCGAGTAGATAAAATGGAGACCACTCCTTAGAGAGGGTGGGCACACTAAACCCCCTGGTGGGGGAGGTGTTAGCCGGCGAACGGAATGTCCAGCGCGTAAGATCGAAAGCCTAGAAAGAACTCTTTGGGGAGTTCTACGGGGGAGGGTGGGATATAAGTTTAATAAATAAATAAATAAATAAGAAAGCCTGTAATGGGCCGTCCGGCCAGGTGGTGGCAGTGCTGCGCTGCAACTGAAAGCAGTCCTGGAGAAAAGCTGAGGACATCAAGCCATGCCGAGGGAAAAATGCCGTTGGAACATGTCTGACCCTACAGCTGAAGAAACTCCCCCTCGACTGCGAACGTGTGTGATTTAAAGATTTATATGTTGTCTTCCCTTACCCCTTGAATCATTGTTAGTTCCGTGTGTATATGAGTAACTGTAAATCGCTCAGAGCCAGCAAGCTCTGCAGGATTGAGCGATTAATAAATTGAAAATATATATACACCCACACTACCTGTCTGGAGTTCAAAGAGCTTTGGTGCGAGAACCCAAAGGAAAGTGACACAGATAGTTGGGATCTTCTGAACTCAAGATCCTCGCTCCCCTCACAAGTTCTTCTTCTTCTTTTAAATTTCTGCCACTTATTAAGGAAATCTGCATCACCCCTTTCTGCGGAGGCACAGCACTCGGGGGGGCAGCTGCTCACCTCGCAAGTTCTTGATGAAGTCGTCCAGCTTCATCTTCCTCTCCGCCTTGACGCTGGGGCTGTACATGTCGGTGTTCAGGAGAATGATGGCGAAAGCCAGGATGAAGATGGTGTCCGGGTTCCGGAACTGACGCACCAAGGGCGCATTGCAGACACAATAGCGCTGGCTGCAGGGGGAGGCAAAGAGAAAGGGGGATTCAGAGCAAAGGCCAGGGGAGAGGTCACGGTCCAAAAAAACAGCCCAAGACTTTGATTCTTATTTACGTCAAATGTTTCCACGATGCCTGTTCGGAGTCCTGCTCAGGGCAGCTTATCATTAACAACCACAGCATGAAAACCAGCCATTGAAAAACAAGCCAATAAAACGCAAGCCGCTGGACATCAGTGTAAAAAATACTAATAAAACAGAAGCAGGCTGTTAAAAAGCTGGTATGAACGTAAGAGAAGCCATGTTGGATCAGGGCAGTGGCCCATCCAGTCTAACACTCTGTGTCACACAGTGGCCAGAACCCAGGGGCCATCGGGAGGTCCACCAGCGGGGCCAGAACTCCAGAAGCCCTCCCGTGGTGGCCCCCCCCCCCAAGCACCAAGAAGACAGAGCATCACTGCCCCAGACAGAGTGTTTCATCTATACCTTAACAGCTAATGATGGATCTCTGCTCTTAAGAACATAAGAGGAACCATGTTGGATCAGGCCAGTGGCCCATCCAGTCCAACACTCTGGGTCACACCGTGGCCAAAACCCAGGGGCCACCAGAAGGTCCACCAGCGGGGCCAGAACTCCAGAAGCCCTCCCACTGTGGATCACCCAAGCACCAAGAACACAGCATCACTGCCCCAGACATAAGAACATAAGAGAAGCCATGTTGGATCAGGCCAATGGCTCATCCAGTCCAACACTCTGTGTCACACAGTGGCCAAAACCCAGGGGCCATCAGGAGGTCCACCAGTGCGGCAGAAAAGGTAAACGGTAAAGCTAAACCTTTAAATAAGATCCTGAGTACACATGAAGCAACATTATACTGAATCAGACTACTGGTCCATCACAGTCGGTATTGCCTGCTTAGGCTGGCAGCATCTATCCAGAGTCTCAGGCAGAGAAAGGTCCTTCTCATCACCTCCTACCTGGTCCTTTTCAACTGGGGATACTGGCGACTGAACCTGAGACTTTCTGCAGACCAAGCAGAGGCTCTGCCACTGAGTCATCCCTCCCCCCCCCGACACGCATGAAGCTGCCTTATACTGAATCAGGCCCTTGGTCCATTCAAGTCAGTATTGTCTACTCAGGCTGGCAGCAGCTCTCCAGGTTCTCAGGCTGAGATCTTTTCACACCACCAGTAGCCTGGTCCTTTTAAACTGGAGATGCCGGGGACGGAACCTGGGACCTTCTATACAAGGGGTGTCAAACATGCGGCCCGGGGGCCAGATCAGGCCACCCCCCTCGGAGGGCCCGCAGTGGAACTGGCCATCTCCTGCTTCCAGTTCTGCTGCTGCTGTTGCATCATAGCTTGCTTCGCCAGACTCTCTTAATCACTCAGCCATTTCAAGTTTTAACCTGGGTCCTAGACTCAGAACTCTGAGCACGAGATTTCCGTGGTGAATGTCAATAAATCAAAAGTAGGTTTTGCAGCTTACAGAGCTAATGTTTTAAGCATGCTTTTAAGTAAAAAGAAACCCTCTGTGTTTGTGTCCTTTGTGTCCTAGTTGATATCTCCACTACCTGGCATTCCGTTTTATGACACACGTGGCCCGGCCCAACAAGGTCTCCTTTGTGTCAGATCCGGCCCTCATAACAAATGAGTTCGACACCCATGCTCTACACAGCAAGCCAATTAGGGCCTTGAAGGTAAAAACCAGCGCTTTGAATCGTGCCGAGAAGCAAATGGATAGGGGTGATACGATCCCAGTGCCCAACCGCTGACAGTAGCCTGGCTGCCACATTCTGCACGAGCTGACGCTTCCAGGCCATTTTCGAAGGCAGCCCTACGTAGAGTGCATTACAGTAATCTAACTCGGATTACCCGATCATGCTTTTAAAGGAATCATAGAATGTTAGAGTGGGAAGGGACCTTGCAGGTAATCTAGTCCAGCCCCCTGCACTTTGCAGGAGCATAGCCGAAAGATAGCCCTACAACATACCCGAAAGACGGCTGTCCAGCCTCCGCTTGAAAACGTCCAGCGAAGGAGCATCCACCACCTCCCGAGGCAGTCTGTTTCACTGCTCAACCACTCTTACAGTTAGGAAGTTTCTCCTGGTATTTAGCTGGTATCGACTCCCTTGTCATTTCCACCCATTAGATCTAGTCTTGCAATCCGGAGCAAGAGAGAATAGATCTGCTCTATCTTCTACATGACAGCCCTTCAAATACTTGAAGACTGCAATCATGTCCCCTCTAAGCCTTCTCTTTCCCAGGCTAAACATACCCAATAGCCGGAGCTGATAAAAAGCGCAATGAGCCACAGAGGAGACCCGCGCCTTCAACCGTTGGCCGGGATTCTAGTGGCAACCCTAAGCTATGAGCCTGCTCCTTCAGGGGAAGAGCGATCCCCTCCGGGACTGGCTAGTTCTGCAGTCTCTCAGCAGCCTCTCTGCTAACCCACAGTGCCCCAGTCTTGTCCAGACTAAACATCTGTTTATCAGCCTTAAACCATCCCCATAACCTTCTCCAGGCACCTACTGAGGACTTTCACCAGTTTGGTGTAGTGGTTAAGTGTGCGGACTCCAATCTGGGAGAACCGGGTTTGATTCCCCACTCCTCCACTTGCACCTGCTGATGTGACCTTGGGTCAGTCAGAAGCTCTGGCACAGCTGTCCTTGAAAAAGAGCAGTTTGTGTCAGAGCTCTCTCAGCCCCACCCACCTCACAGGGTGTCTGTTGTGGGGAGGGGAAGGGAAAGGAGTTTGTAAGCCGCTCTGAGACTCCAAGTGAAGGGCGGGGTATAAATCCAATCTCTTCTTCTTCTTCTTCTTCCACAGACCCACAGAACAAGATAATCCATGCCTTCGTGTTCTCCATTACTATGCATGGGTGTGACAGCTGGACAGCGAAGAAAGCTGGCAGGAAGAAAGCGGATTCATTTCATAGAATCATAAGAGTTGGGAGGGACCTCCAGGGTCATCTAGTCCAACCCCCTGCACAATGGAGGAAATTCACAAATACTCCCCCCACACACACACCCAGTGACCCCTGCTCCATGCCCAGGAGATGGCAAAAAACCTCCAAGATCCCTGGCCAAACTAGCCTGGAGAAAACTGCTTCCTGACCCGAACATGGCAACCGGCATTTCCCTGGGTGTGTAAGAAAGGGCCACGGGAACTAAGCACTGAGGCAACCCTTCCTGCCCTCCCTCTCGCGATCTGCCTAAATTCACAGAATCAGCGTTGCTGTCAGATGGCCATCTAGCCTCTGCTTTAAAAAACCTCCAAAGAAGGAGAGCCCACCACCTCCCGAGGAAGCCTGTTCCCCTGAGGAACTATCAGGGAGTCCTTCCTGTGGTGTTAGAGGAGAGTTTCATCGTTAACGTGGACTGCCAAAGAGACAAATCAGGGGCTTCTCGATCCAATCAAGCCTCAACTCTCCCTAGAAGCTCAAATGACTTAAACTGAGGCTATCAATACTTTGGTCCCATCGTGGGAAGACAAGAGTCACTGGGAAAGACAATCATGCTGGGAAAAGCGGAAGGCAGCGGGAAAAGAGGAAGACCCAACGGGAGGTGGATTGACAAAGGAAGCCACAGCCCCAAGGATGTGTTAGGGCAGGGGTGTCAAACATGCGGCCCAGGGGCCGGATCAGGCCCCCAGAGGGCTTCTATCAGGCCCGCAAGGGACTGGCTGCCTCCTGCTTCTTCCTCCAGTTCCGCTGCTGCTGCTGCGTCATGGCTTGCCTTCCCAGACTCTCTCAATCGCTCAGGAGAGATAGACAGGCAAGTTTCTGCTCCCTACACTGGGCCGAGGCTCCTCCCCTCCCCCTCCCCGATTGCTACGGCACAGACATTTTTGATGCAATAATTCAGAGCAAGAAGTGTCAGCTATCAGAGACGGTTAAATAAACAAAATATTGCAAGAGCGCTCATGTTTTAAGCATGTTTTTATTTTAAGTTTTAAAAAAATCTTTGTGTTTGTGTCCTTTATAAAGTTTATATCTCCACTACCTGGCATTACGTTTTATGGCACACACGGCCCAGTCCGACAAAGCCCAATTTATGTCAAATCCAGCCCTCCATGAGTTCGACACCCCTGTTTTAGATGTCATCTAATTCATAGGGTCGCCATAAGTCAGAAGTGACTTCCCTCACGGCCTTGGAATCGCTAATTAGTATAGCGAGAGTAACACAACGGGGCTTAATCTCTAAACTCCACAAGGTGTTAGCCTCACTAGATTGTGACACATGCCTAACTTATCAAACTTCATGGCACAAAGAATGCAACATTAGTTTAACAACAGAACAGTGGCACAAATTATGGTCCTCTCCACCATTTCGATCTAAAATCACTTCAATGAAGCGCCAGACATTTAAGATTTTAGCACACTGGTACCTCACCCCATGCAAACTGGCACAAATGTCCTCAACATGCAGTCCATATTGTTGGGAAAACTGTGGAAACGTGGGTAATCATCTGCATTGTTGGGTAGAATGCCCGAAAATACTCCCTCTTTCTGGGAGTAGGCTTACCAAGTCCCCCCGGGGGGCGGGTAAAACCCCGCCCCAGAGGCCCGTTCCCCGCCGCCGGTGGATTGGGCCCCGGGGAGAACCCCACCCCCAAAGTACGTGACGTGCACGTCACTCGAAAGTGACGCGACCACGCCGGGCATGCTGGGGGCAGGGCCACGGTCATCTGAGGGAAAACTCTATGGTTTTCCCTCAGATGGTTGTGGCCCTGCCCCCAGCGTGCCCGCCGTGGTCGCGTCACTTCCGGGTGACGTGGATGCGGCGCGCTCGCGCTCTGGGAGCAACCCGGGAGTACCCCACTCCAGATGAAGGTAGGACTTGGCAACCCTACCTGGGAAGCGATGTTGACACAGATCAAATGATAGTCCTACCAACACCAGGACACCTGTTTCTGAACAGATGGGCAGTTCATGGCTCTGCTTCTGCAAGTGTAGAACGGGCCTCCATAATGCCTTCTGCTGCTAAAACGGCCATTGCCACGCATTGGAAAACGACAGTGGCACCCACGCTTACACAATGGCATCATAAATTGTGCGATTTGTCTGTTATGGCGAAACTCTGGGATAATCTTACACGCTTTGACAGATTACCTGCTAACACATCGTTTGTAGCAGTTTGGCTCCCTATCTTAAATGACCTAACTGAAAACTCAGATACTCCAAATGTGATAGATGATTTACGGTTGTGGTAAAATCGATACTTCTGTCCTATGTGATTAACTCTGTACCTAATTAATATACTTTTCCTTCCCTTAAACAAAAGGACATCAAATTCTTTTGGAAAAATGTTGAAATGGAGCTCACTACAGATGTTTGTAAGACTCAGGCCCCGGTCACACGAGAGGTTTTGGGCCGGGAGAGGGACGGATCGGGGGCGCAGCAAACGGGCGCGATCCCACTGCAACAGCTGGGAAGCGTTGCGCGCCCGTCCCCGATCTGGCCCTTCCACCCAAAACCCCGCACCAAAAATAAGCCAACCTGGGTGGTTCATTTGGAAAGGCCACATCAAGGCCGGCCGTGGGATCGCCGGCGCGTCCTTCTGCCGGCGCATCCCCGGCTCCTGGCCCAACTGCGCATGCTCACACATGCGCAGTTCGGCAGCCTCCCCCTCCCGACTGTCGCTTCCTCCCTGGCATCTGATCGTGCCGGGGAGCAACGGCGCCGTGGCTCAGGGGATCCGTGGGATCCCGCCGCGGCGTCTCTATTTTGGTGCGGCTCAGATTAGCCGCACTTAGGCCGTTGTTTTTCCTGCCGTGTGACAGGGACCACAGTTAATGTATTGCTGTCTAGTGCTTACCTTCAACTGTTTTACTTATTCAATTGTAAAATGTTATACACTTAATGGTATATTATTTGTAACACATTGTACTTTTTGGAAAATTAATAAACTATATCGTACCAAAAAAAAGAGAGGTGACTTGACGGCACTTAAAACATACCCCCTCGGACCCATCTGACTTAGCGGTTAAGGAGAAACACAGTTTTGTGTCACCCACATATTGGTAGCAATGTTCTCTCTAAGCTGTGGAGTCTTGTGAGCAAAAATCCTACTTTGTGAGCTGCTGGCATTAAAGTTGTCAGTGAGCGATTTGGCTGCTGTATAAATCAGTTTGCTCTGGAGCCCTCCTTCCTGAGCAAAGACAAAAATGTGTGAGCCGGAGGCTAAAACACTGTGAGCTAGCTCACACTAACTCGGCTTAGAGGGAACACTGATTAGCAGTATCTCACTCCCAATCCCTGGACGACTTCTCCCAGCAGTTTCATGCAGATGTTAAATAGCATTGGGGAGAAGGGGTAAGATGGAACCCTCGCGGGACCGCACAGCAAAACCATAGAGTTTTCCCTCGGATGACTGTGGCCCCGCCCCCAGCGTGCCCGGTGTCATAACGTCACTTCCTGGGGACGCGCACGCCGGGGTGGGGTTCCCCCCAGGACCCGATCCGCCAGCGGCGGGGAACGGGCCTCTGGGGTGAGGGATTCCCCGCCCCCGGGGGGGGGGACTTGGCAAGCCTAGTCCCAGGGCCAGGCAGCAGTCCCGCAGCCAGCACCACCTTCTGGAATCGGTGGGTCAAGTAAGAACATAATTATTAATTAATTTATTATTTATAATTTCAATTTATATACCTCAGGGCGGTTGACGGCGACAAAAAATACAATATAAAGCCAAAAACAAAACGGTAACGTTAAAATGAAAGAACGTTAGATGGCACCAAAGTAAATACAGTCTGCATTACTGTCCCGCAAGTGGGAGAAAGCAACCATGGTGCCTTCTGCCCCCAGCCTGGCCACTCTCTCCAGGAGGAGACTGTTGTCTCAATGTTCCCTCTAAGCTGTGTAGTCTTGTGAGCAAAAATCCTACTTGGTGAGCTACTGGCATTAAAGTTGTGAGCGAGCGATTTGGCTACTGCAGAAACTAGTTTGCTTTGGAGCCATCCCTTCCTGAGCAAAGACAAGAATGTGTGAGCCAGAGGCTAAAAATCTGTGAGCTAGCTCACACTAACTCAGCTTAGAGGGAACACTGGTTGTCGTGCCGTCAAAATCAACTGATGGGTCCAGGGGAATCGACAGGGTCCCAGCCAAGGCCACTGGTCAGTGCAACCAAGGTTGTTTCCGTCCACAAACCAGGCCTTGAATGTGCTTGATTAGAGGACAACCTTGCACGAGTGCTGTGTTGGTCATGCTACAGAGGAGATGGGGGACCCACGGGGGAGGGAAGCGGTCAGTGTGCAAGTGGCCAACCCTCCAACGGAGCCCCAAAGACGCATTTGGTCCCTGTAGTAACCAGACGCTGGGTAGCAGGAGACCTTGAGGCCCAACCTCAGAACTGAGAAGGGGAGTCAGGATTTTGTCCCTCCTGGCAGGAAGACCTCAAAAGGACAGTGGTAGCAGCAATACCCCCAAAATCTCCAGGTATTTCCCAACCCAGAGCTGGCGACCCACAAGTGGACGCAGTCCATGTTACTTACTGAAACAAACGGGCAAAACCCCTTAGATTTCAGCGGGGGAAACTGAGGCCCAAGTCTCATAAAACTCGGCCAGCATGTGGACTCTACACATGACGGGATGAGAAAAAGAGAGGGGAGAAAAAAATCTCTTGCTTTGGCAATGTAGAATATTCTGCACCGCCAGGTTCCTATACGCATACATTACTATGCACATATGGCCCATCCACCCGCTTTTGCAGCAGATGGATCGAGTGGGCGGGACAGACACAAATGAGATCTATGCGCAGAGAAGGCCCAGTTGCAATGGTACACTGTGGGAGGGGGTCTGCGTGAGCTCACTCCAAGAACCCGCCATACGTGTCGTCTGCTCGGCGGGGCCGGTTCACACCGTGGTCACCCCAGGCAGACTTCCTACAAGGCGACATGATAGAGTGGCAACTTGGACAGATCTTGTTCCCTCCGTAGAATGCAACCGGCAGGCTTGTGCAGCCTCTGTTTCCCTCAGGGGCGGGCAACTGTAAGGAAAAGGGTTTCACCCTTCAACTTCCATTACGTTTCATTATTCGTCCCCACGCAGTTATTAGCATTTTAAACACGCTAATGACAAAACATGGAGTCCCGTTTAGAACAATGAAGTCGACCAAAGGGTTAAAAAGCCCTCTCCTTTTACCCGCCTGGTCCCAAGGCAAATTGAGGCTCTACATGCCTGGAGGAGTGTGATCTTTGTCTCACCTGCTCAAGCCCTGAGTCTGCACAAGGCCAGGTTCACGTGCTGGCCTCTTCTCGTCAAAGGCCCAAATACTTTTCTTTGGCCTTTGCTTTAGGGAGCCATGCGCAAATCATCTGCGACCCTCCACACTGTTTGCGCAGTGGTGCTTGCTCGCTTTCCCCTCCTACTGCAGTCCAGAAAGCCCCCTTGAATTCTGTTCCTGGGGTCAACAGACCCTCCGGAACAGCGGAAGGGCCAACCAAGGTCTGCGACAGGAAGGGGGAATTGGTAGAAACTTACATCCCTTCTTCCAAACGGCATTCCGTTGGAGGGACTGCACTGGTGGCAGCATGCCAATATTCCTTTTATCTTTCCCCCCTTCAAGACTAATCCAGCAGCTGCTTCCTGAATGATGCAGACAGAAATCAAAGCTGAAGAAAACTATCTGGCCTCACCTTCACGTAGGATCTTGCTAGACATTTCATGCAGCCGCATCACAGTTCAAACTCCTACTGCAGAAATTAACGTACTCCCCCGTGGACTGTGGCACAGTGGCAGAGCCTCTGCTCGGCATGCAGAAGGTTCCAGGTTCAATCTCCGGCATCCCCAGTTAAAAGGACCAGGCAGTAGGTGATGAGAAAGACCTTGGCCTGAGACCCTGGCTCAGTGGCAGAGCCTCTGCTTGGCATGCAGAAGGTCCCAGGTTCAATCCCCAGCATCTCCAGTTAAAAGGACCAGACAGTGGGAGGTGTGGAAGACCTCCACCTGAGACCTTGGAAAGCTGCTGGTCTGAGTAGACAAGACAGACCTTGATGGACTGAGAATCTGATTCAGTAAAATGCAGCTTCATTTGTGTTCATGTATGAAGCACTGCTTTAGGGGAGGGGCCATTGCTCAGTGGCAGAGAATCTGCTTGGCATGCAGAAGGTCCCAGGTTCAATCCCCGGCATCTCCAGTTAAAAGCACCAGCCAGGAGATGATGGGAAAGACTTCCACCTGAGACCCTGGAGAGCTGCTACCAGTCTGAATGGACAATACTAACCTTGATGGACCAAGGGTCTGATTCACTGTAAGGAATAGCAGATCAAAGGAAGTCCTTCTTCACCCAAAGAGTCAAGAACACATGGAATTCTCTGCTGCAGGATGTGGCGGCTACCAGCACAGGCCACTTCCAAAGGGAACTGGATCAATGTATGGAGCAGAGGTCCATCAGTGGCTGTTAGCCACAAGGTATAGATGGAACACTCTGTCTGAGGCAGTGATGCTCTGTCTTCTTGTTGCTTGGGGGGGGGGCAACAGTGGGAGGGCTTCTGGAGTTCTGACCCCGCTGGGGGACCTCCTGATGGCACCTAAGTTTTGGCCATCATTTGACACAGAGTGTTGGACTGGATGGACCACTGGCCCGATCCAACATGGCTTCTCTTATGTTCTTAAGAGCAGAGGCCCATCAGTGGCTATTAGCCACAAGGTACAGATGGAACGCTCTGTCTGGGGCAGCAATGCTATGTCTTCCTGGTGCTTGTGGGTGGGCATTGTGTGGGGGGGCTTCTGGAGTTCTGGCCCCGCTGGTGGACCTCCTGATGGCACTTGGGTTTTGGCCACTGTGTGACACAGAGTGCTGGACTGGATGGGCCACTGGCCTGCTCCAGCAGAGCTTCTCTTACGTCCTTATGAAGCTTCATGGGTTCAATTATTCCCTCATCTCAAGTCTCCCCAAAGCCTACCAAGAAACCCTGGAAAGGTGGAGACGCTTCCAAGGTACCTGAAGGCCTCTATGAGCCGCTCCACCTTCTGCGCTTCACCTTGGACCCGGATATGGGACTGGAACTTCCGCAAAGCGTCATCCAAGTCCATGCCGGAGAAGTCCATCTCATCCACCACGCAGCTGTAAGGCAGCAAACAGGAAAATCAAACACTTCCCACCCATAAGGTGTTCAGGGAGAAAAACAGAGACAGCCCTGCACCAATGCTCCCTTTAAACTGTGGAGTCTTGTGAACAAAAATTCTCCTTTGTGAGCTACTGGCATTAAAGTTGTGAGCGAGCGATTTGGCGACTGCATGAATTATTTAGCTCTGGAGCCGTCCTTCCTGAGCTGAGACAAAAATATGTGAGCTGGAGGCTAAAAAACTGAGCTAGCTCACACCAACTCAGCTTAGAGGGAACACTGACTACTTCCAGCTTCGTTAAGCACGTCCTGTTCAAGGGAGGAGAGGGAGGGTTAAGCACTGCTTTCCCCTTTGCCGTCAAAGCCACTGCTTGCTTTTTTGTTATTGTCATTTTGAAAGGGCACGGTGGCTTCCGTTCAAAATGAAATAAAACGACGCGCGATGGCTTTGACCACAACGGGGAAAGCAGCCCTTAACACAGATATCGCCAAGGAAGTAAAAAGGAGAATGAACCCTCAGTTCGGGAACGCTGCGGACACAGAAAGTGCTAACTGGGTGGCAGACAAAGGGAAAACTGCAGAGCAAGCAGATCCTTTGCAGACCGGGACTTATTTTTAAGGAGCCGTGGAGCTAAGCAGGATGGGAGACCGCCAAGGAAGACTGGGGGCTGGGACGCAGAGGCAGGCAAGGGCAAACCACCTCTGTATATCTCCTACCCTGACCTGGATGGCCCAGGCTAGCCCGATCTTGTCCGTTCTCGGATGCTAAGCAGGGCTGGCCGTGGTCAGTACCTGGATGGAAGGAAGTCCTGGGCAAGGCTCCATCTAAGCTGTGGAGTCCTGTGAGCAAAAATCCCACTTTGTGAGCTACTAGCATTAAAGATGTGAGCGAGTAATGTGGCTACTGCATAAACTAGTTTGCTCTGGAGCCCTCCTTCCTGAGCTGAGACGAAAATGCGTGAGCCAGAGACTAAAAAACTGTGAGCTGGCTCACACTAACTAATTCAGCTTAGAGGGAACAATGATTGTCAGAGGTCATTTCGTAGAAAAAGAGGTGCAGGAGCTCATTAGCATAGCTTATTTGCATATGCCACACCCCCTGACATCACCAGAAGTGTGTCAGAAGGCTCCACTGAACTGTTTAGGATTGCTAGCTATTGGTGGTGGTGGGGGAACGTGCAGATCTGTCCTCGCAGAGGAGGGAGAGCTTGTACCTGAATAAAACTTGGTCTTAAAGGTGCCACTGGTCTGTTTTGGACCGGGGGGGCGGGGGGGGGCTCTGCAGCTTACCTGGCTGCTTCTTGCTGTGACTGAGGGCTGCTGGGAGCAGGGGGTGGGGCTTGTTGCATGTGCCCGCCCCCTGGGCTCTTTACTGCCGGAGCTCCGTTCCTGTGCACTCCTGCAGGAAATGATCCCTGCTGGTTGTAAGGTAGGCTTGTTCTAATGTCAGCAGGTTGGAGATCTGGACCGGGGCCAGAGAACAGGATCTTACCAAAGGCCACCTGCCACTGAGCTACGATTTGGAACCAGGGGTTTCCCACACCGTTCACCGTGCTGACAACTATCACGCTCAGCGACAACTCTCTCTTCAAAAAAGAAAACATTAAAAAGACGTCAATAGCCTTGGGTGAAAACAATGCAGAGTCCCTTACTCGAGGACGTCCCGGTTGAACTGCTTTTGCCGGTTGCCGAGGAATTCGCCGATCATCTGCCGGCTCAGTCCCTTCCGCTCCAGGATGAAGCGCGCCACGCCGACGGGCGTGTCCGACAGGAAGCCCCTCTCGATCAAGTACTGGATCCCTTTCTCCGGTTTCCTGCCGGTAGGATGAGAAAGAGACTGTATGTGTATCTGAAACCGTTTCCCCCCCTGGCTTCGAAACAGCGAGACGTTTAGATACGCCACTGGACTAGACTCCA